GTGTTAGTGTGTTCAGCAGAAGTTTGTGGTTACAAGAAAGTGGGTGCGGGAGGGAAGAAGAGCAATCGGTGGAATGATGTAAAGAGAGTAGTAAGGGAGAAAAAGTTAGCATACGAGAGGTTTTTACAAAGTAGAAGTGATGCAAGGAGGGAAGAGTATATGGAGAGAAAAAGAAATGTTAAGAGAGTGGTGAAGCAATGTAAAAAGAGAGCAAATGAGAGAGTGGGTGAGAAGTTATCAACAAATTTTGTTGAAAATAAGAAAAAGTTTTAGAGTGAGATTAACAAGTTGAGGAAGCCTAGAGAACAAATGGATATGTCAGTTAAAAATAGGAGAGGAGAGTTATTAGATGGAGAGTTAGAGGTATCGGGAAGATGGAGGGAATATTCCGAGGAATTGTTAAATGTTGATGAAGATAGGGATGCTGTGATTTCATATATAGGGCAAGGAGGAGTAACATCTTGTAGGAGTAAGGAAGAGCCAGTTGTGAGTGTGGGGGAAGTTCGTGAGGCAGTGGGTAGAATGAAAGGGGGTAAGGCAGCTGGGATTGATAGGATAAAGATAGAAATGTTAAAAGCAGGTGGGGATATAGTTTTGGAGAGGTTGGTGTTATTATTTAATAAATGTATGGAAGAGGGTAGGGTACCTAGGGATTGGCAGATAGCATGCATAGTTCCTTAGTATAAAGGCAAAGGGGACAAAAGAGAGCCCAAAAATTATAGGGGGATAAGTCTGTTGAGTCCTAGGTAGTAGGTTGGTAGACAGCAACCGCCCAGGGAGGTGCTACCGTCCTGCCAAGTGAGTGTAAAACGAAAGCTTGTAATTGTTTTACATGATAGTAGGATTGTTGGTGTCCATTTTTCTGTCTCATAAACATGCAAGATTTCAGGTAAGTCTTGGTACTTCTTCTTACACTTAGGTCACATTACACATACATGTACAAGCATATATATATGTACACACCCCTCTGGGTTTTCTTCTATTTTCTTACTAGTTCTTGTTCTTGTTTATTTCCTGTTCTCTCCATGAGGAAGTGGAACAGAATTCTTCCTCCGTAAGCCATGCATAAGTGGCGACTAAAATGCCTGGAGCAAGGGGCTAGTGACTCCTTCTACTGTATATATTACTAAATGTAAAAGGAGAAGCTTTCGTTTTTCCTTTTGGGCCACCCCGCCTCGGTGGGATACGGCCGGTGTGTTAAAAGAAGAAGAAGTCTGTAGAGTATACCTGGTAAAGTGTATGGTAGGGTTATTATTGAAAGAATTAAGAGTAAGATGGAGAGTAAGATAGCAGATGAACAAGGAGGCTTTAGGAAAGGTAGGGGGTGTGTGGACCAGGTGTTTACAGTGAAACATATAAGTGAACAGTATTTAGATAAGGCTAAAGAGGATTTTGTGGCATTTATGGATTTGGAAAAGGCGTATGACAGGGTGGATAGGGGGGCAATGTGGCAGATGTTGCAGGTGTATGGTGTAGGAGGTAGGTTACTGTAAGCAGTGAAGAGTTTTTACGAGGATAGTGAGGCTCAAGTTAGAGTATGAAGGAAAGAGGGAGATTATTTCCCAGTAAAAGTAGTCCTTAGACAAGGATGTGTGATGTCACCGTGGTTGTTTAATATATTTATAGATGGGGTTGTAAGGGAAGTAAATGCGAGGGTCTTGGCAAGAGGCGTGGAGTTAAAAGATAAAGAATCACACATAAAGTGGGAGTTGTCACAGTTGCTCTTTGCTGATGACACTGTGCTCTTGGGAGATTCTGAAGAGAAGCTGCAGAGGTTGGTGGATGAATTTGGCAGGGTATGTAAAAGTAGAAAATTAAAAGTGAATAAAGGAAAGAGTCAGGTTATGAGGATAACAAAAAGAATTAGGTGATGAAAGATTAGATATCAGATTGGAAGGAGAGAGTATGGAGGAGGTGTATGTATTCAGATATTTGGGAGTGGACGTGTCAGCAGATGGGTCTATGAAAGATGAGGTGAATCATAGAATTGAAGAGGGGAAAAGGGTGAGCTGTGCACTTAGGAGTCTGTGGAGACAAAGAACTTTGTCCTTGGAGGCAAAGAGGGGAATGTATGAGAGTATAGTTTTACCAACACTCTTATATGGGTGTGAAGCATGGGTGATGAATATTGCAGCGAGGAGAAGGCTGGAGGCAGTGGAGATGTCATGTCTGAGGGCAATGTGTGGTGTGAATATAATGCAGAGAATTTGTAGTTTGGAAGTTAGGAGGAGGTGTGGGATTACCAACCTGTTGTCCAGAGGGCTGACAGAGGGTTGTGGAGGTGGTTCGGACATGTAGAGAGAATGGAACGAATCAGAATGACTTTGAGAGTGTATAAATCTGTAGTGAAGGGAAGGCAGGGTAGGGGTCGGCCTAGGAAAGGTTGGAGGGAGGGGGTAAAGGAGGTTTTGTGTGCGAGGGGCTTGGACTTCCAGCAAGCATGCATGAGTGTATTTGATAGGAGTGAATGAAGACAAATGGTTTTTAATACTTGACATGCTGTTGGAGTGTAAGCAAAGTAACATTTATGAAGGGATTCAGGGAAACCAGTAGGCCGGACTTGAGTCCTGGAGATAGGAAGTACAGTGCCTACATTCTGAAGGAGGGGTGTTAATGTTGCAGTTTTATAAACTGTAGTGTTAATCACCCCTCTGGCAAGATAGTGCTGGAGTGAATGATGATGAAAGTTTTTCTTTTTCGGGTCACCCTGCCTTGGTGGGAATCGGCTAATGTGTTAATAATAATAATAATAATAAGAATAAAAAATAATCTGAAGGCCCATAATCATGATTGATTTCTGCTGTATTATATTGCTAAGCTTTAAATAATAAGACATTACATTGTGCCTTACTTTTTGGGTTATCCTAGGTCATTTACAAATACATTACTATACAAAATAACCACTGAAAAAGTGAAATTTCAAGTGCTTTTATGAAGTAAGAAATCACGAAAGCACTTGGAATTTTACTATTTTTTCACTGGTTATTTTGCATATACAGGTTGGCCATCCCTAATCTGGCATCAGTGGGACCTGTAGTGTGCCAGTTTAGCAAGTTTGCTGGATTACAGAGTGGTTAGGTTAGAATACACTTAATTAACCTATCAACACTCTTTCTGCTACATCTTCCTCATTTTCATCACTGCTTACTCCACTGGCTTGCTGCTGTGGATTTACATCCATCTTCACAATTTCTGAGTCAGTATAATGATGAAATTTGAAATTATGCTAGCCAAAATTAGTGTCAGATTACTGATGGAACTGGATAACTGATTGCCGGATTAGTGATGGCTGACCTGTAGTGATATCACCTTTTAATAATACGTAATATAACAATATCTTTATTTACTGCAAGTACAGGTACATGGCATACAGGCCTAGCTGACATCAGTGACATACTACTTTATAGAAAGCTGCTTGTTATACAGAACATTTCGGGCAAATTAGGTCAGTTTTGTCCCAGGATGCAACCCATGCCAGTTGACTAACACCCAGGTACCCATTTTAAACTGGTGGGTGGACAGGGACAGTAGGTGTCTCATGGAAACACGTCCCTAATGTGATTCTTCAACGTCCCTAATGTTTTCCAGCCATACTGGAGGAGATTTGAACCCCGGACCTTAGGTGTGAGCTGAGTGTGATAGCAATCGAGCTACAGGACACCCCTTGAGCGTCATCTAATTGCATATGTTATTATGTATGATAAATGTAATCACCTAAATTTGTATGATTATACTTATGTGTACCTAAATAAACTTAATCTAACATATTGTCGATAATTTTACCAATAATTATAGTTAACCTAACTTAAATATTAGTGAAAACATGTCAGCTCAACTAAGTATTATTATTATATTCATTGAAAGAGTTTAACTCTTAATGGTTATTCATGGAGTACAGCAGAGGTGAAAGAGATGATGAAGATGAAGGAAGAAGTTTATTTAGGCAAAGGTACACATAAGTACAATTAACATACATAGCATAAATTACTCAGGATAACCCCCCAATAAAGTCAGACAGTGACTTATTTCCACTGGGGTAGGTAGAGGTGATGAGGGACACTGGGTGCAAGGATGGCAAAGGAAGGAAGGGTCACAGATGATGTAGCATATTCGTGGGATGATCAGAGAGAAGGGTGGATAAAGTAAGCAAGGCATCTGAAATGAATTTGTTGTCGTCTGATGACTGGGACAATGATTGAAATGTGACACAGCCAGTTAAGTCACAAACTCTGCAGTGAAGTTTTATTCCGAAAGATACAAATGATTTCACATAGAATAAATTTTCATAAGACTTCTGAGAGAACTGTTGAACCCCAATGGAAATAAATCACTTTGACTTTTTTGGGGGTTATCCTGGAAAATTTACACTATGTAGGTACTAATATGTACCTACATATGCCAGAGTAAACTTACTTATTTCAATAGGATAATGCAATAAAGGTAGTGAGACCTATTAGGGTGACTGGTGAAATTTCTAAAATAATAATAATAATATCTTTATTTATTAAAAGTACATGTACATGTTACACAGGCCAAGCTGACAAACTACTATAAAAAAAGCCCCTCGTTATGCTTCAGCATGTTGGGCAAATTATGTCAGTGTCCCAGGATGCAACCCACACCAGTCCACTAACACCCAGGATGCGACCCACACCAGTCCACTAACACCCAGGATGCGACCCACACCAGTCCACTAACACCCAGGATGCGACCCACACCAGTCCACTAACACCCAGGATGCGACCCACACCAGTCCACTAACACCCAGGATGCGACCCACACCAGTCCACTAACACCCAGGATGCGACCCACACCAGTCCACTAACACCCAGGTACCCATTTTACTGATGGTGAACATAGACAACAGGTGTAAAGAAACACGTCCAATGTTTCTACTCTGGCTGGGTATCGAACCCAGACCCTGGCTGTGTTAAGCGAGATCTTTAGCCACCAGAGCCTGGTGGCCAACTTTAGGTGTTTATAATAAGGGTGATACTCACCCCTTCTTCATCTGTATTAAGCTGCTGAACAAATTTTTGAATAGTTTCATTGACTAATGACAACTGAGCATATAAAATGTCTGATCGATCACCAAGGTAGACCAGGATACACCGTCGACAACATCCTACGTCCTCCAGAAACTTAAGTGCACTCATTCCTAGCATTTTGAGAATGACTTTCTTCTTCGTTCTTGCTTGAGATGCTTCACCCACCACGATTTTAACACAACCAAAACTCTCTTCTTGGCCTTTTTTTTTTTTTTTTTTGGTTGTTGTTGTTGGGTTTATCAGGGCCACTGAAAGCTTATGCAGTATCGAGCCCGACTTCCCGATGTAATAATAATAATAATAATAATAATAATAATAATAATAATAATAATAATAATAATAATAATAATAATAATAATAATAATAATAATAATATCTTTATATACTACATGTACAAGGTATACAGACCATAGCTAACATCAATGACATACTACTATATAGAAAGTCGCTTGTTATGCTGAGCATTTCCCGCAAATTAAGTCAATTTTGTCCCAGGATGCGACCCACACCAGTCCACTAACACCCAGGTACCTATTTTACTGATGGTGAACTGTGACAGCAGATGTAAGGAAGCACGCCTAATGTTCTACCCTCGCCGGAAATCGAGCCCCGGGCCCTGGGATAAAATAAAGGACCATGCACCCAAGGCAGAAGAAAAAACGCAAAGAAGAAAGAGGAAAAAGGAAAGGGGATTTAGATTTTTTAGATTTTGCCACCGAAGTGGCAAGAGCATATGGACACACAAAAGACCTAGAAACTAGGCACCAAAAGGGTTAATAGGTGTACATACGGTTTTTTTTAATCTACATATCTACAGTTCATTTATCTGTTACAAGCAAATTTAGGAAGCAAATTTAGGAAATTTGCTTAGTATATCTGGTATCTTATTTTCATTAATAAGATATCTTGACATGTCACATAGGTTATTATACTGTCTGTCTCTGTATTCCTCAATAAGTGGACAATTAAGTACATAGTGTTCAAGAGAGTGACCATATGCCTGATCACATAATTTACATTTAGTTTGATCATCATCTGTGTGTCTCCCAAACTGCCAGAAGTACTTGTAACCAAGCCTAAGCCTGGCCACTACAACATCAGTCAGTCTGTTCATACTGCAAGTTGCTCCATAAACATACTTATCTACGTTCATGTTATCATAGTGGGTTATCATGGTGTTATCATGGTGGCCCGGTGGCCTGGTGGCTAAAGCTCCCGCTTCACACACGGAGGGCCCGGGTTCGATTCCCGACGGGTGGAAACATTTCGACACGTTTCCTTACACCTGTTGTCCTGTTCACCTAGCAGCAAATAGGTACCTGGGTGTTAGTCGACTGGTGTGGGTCGCATCCTGGGGGACAAGATTAAGGACCCCAATGGAAATAAGTTAGACAGTCCTCGATGACGCACTGACTTTCTTGGGTTATCCTGGGTGGCTAACCCTCCGGGGTTAAAAATCCGAACGAAATCTTATCTTATCTTATCTTATAGATCTACTCAGGCTTCTAACTGCATTCCTATTACAATCATTTTCATTATTTATTTCTCTCCTAATATTATTCCTAATGCTAGACACAGATATACCAAAGTTATATTCTACATTCTCCTTCTGGGTACTCTTCTTGGCTAACATATCAACTTTATCATGAAGGAGTAATCCAATGTGTGATGGGATCCATAGCAATTGTACATTAATTCCTTTGTCCCTAATTTTTGAGTATCTATACCTGGCTTCTCCAATGAGCATGTTGTTGGAGTCATTATATGAGTCAAGAGCCTTCAATGATGACATAGAATCAGTAATGATGACAGAATCAAGTTCAGTGTCATAGGTTAGCTTTAGCGCCATTAGGATTGCAAACAGTTCAGTTTGCAGTGTAGACGCCCAGTTGTTAATTCTTATGCCTAACTCAACAAATTTATTATCTTTCTTAACTAGGGAGGTGGCAACAAGAACAGTTGCAGCCCTGCCAGAAGACTCCTGTTTAGATCCATCAGTGTATATAACGTGTGATAACTTACTACTACCAGCTAGGTGAGAAATTTCTTCTTGAGCAGTTGCTTTAACAAATGATTTAAGGAAGGGATTACTACCAATGAGCTTCTTGGGAGGGGCTTGTAGGTGTGATATTAAATGAACACATCTTCCATGGAGGGGTGAAATGCTCTTGTCTACAGTAATAAAGTTCATGCAGGTTATAAAACTTAATGCAATTGCACGCTTTCACAATCCATTTAGATTTGTGTGTATTTACTTCTAGACGCTTAGTAAGATTCATTGTGATAGTGTCTGGTTCATTTCTTAGCATTCTAATACCGAGTACAGTGTTAATCTCAACAATCCTATCACTGATACTAGAAATACCAAGCTCCTTCCTCATATTAAGAATCTTTGTAGATTTGGGACACCCAAGAATAATTCTGAGAGCTTCATTTTGCATTAACTCCAAGGGTCGGAGAGAACTTTCCCTAGCTAATATCAACATGGGAGCAGCATAATCAATCAAGGACCTAACATAGGCTATGTACATCATTTTCACGATTCTCACATTAACACCATAATTGGGGTTGTAGCCAGCAACATTAGCACCATAGTTGGGGTTGTAGCCAGCAACATTAGCACCATAGTTGGGGTTGTAGCCAGCAACATTAGCACCATAGTTGGGGTTGTAGCCAGCAACATTAGCACCATAGTTGGGGGTTGTAGCCAGCAACATTAGCACCATAGTTGGGGTTGTAGCCAGCAACATTAGCACCATAGTTGGGGTTGTAGCCAGCAACAGCTTTGAGAGCATTTAGCCTATCTGCATTTCTTATTTAGTTGTGGTACAGTGGATTTGTTAAAGGGTACATCTACACCAAGATATCTGTAAGCTTTAACGTAGCTAATGTTTTCACCCTGAAAATAGATGGGTGGGGGATGTCGTTTGTTTTAGAGGAAGATATTATGAGGCCTAGTCGATTACGAATTGCTTGAACTTCATTAAGAATGGTGCTCATCTTCTTATGCCCTGCTGTATGTATCATGATGTCGTCAGCATAGCTTATAGCTATATGTTTAATTGAGGCAGGTAGAGCATTTAGGAGAGCATTAATCAGAATATTAAATAGCATGGGGCTTGGAACTCTTCTCTGTGGTGTACCTAAAGACATTTCTTTAGACTCACTTCTAAGGTCATGATAGAGGACAGAGAATACTCTACTTGACAGTATCCTGTTATCCAGCAGAGTAAACTACCACCAATATTCATTTTGGCTAGTTCATGTAGTATAACAGTTCTGTTCGCAATATCAAATGCAGATTTTAGATCAAGAAAAGTAGTAAAACTAATAGAGGTGTGTGCAGTGAGAACGGTGGAAATACAGTTCTGCACACTTTTGCTTGTCATGAACCCATAGAAGTAGGGGAAAAGTTGGTTTCTGATTCTGTAGTACAGTCTGTTAAGTATCATTCTTTCAAAAGTTTTACAAAGACAACTAGTAAAAGAGATCGGTCTAAATGTATCAGGCTGTTGGGGCTTAGGGATAGGCACAATGAGACTATTGGTCCAGGAAGTAGGAAGAACTTCCTCAATGTAACTGGTATTATACAGTGCCAGCAAAGGGTTATCAGGCACGTGCTTTAAAGTTCTGAGAATATCATAGGTTATACCATCCTCTCCAGGAGCAGTTGATCGACCTTTAGTTAATGCATTATCTAATTCATACTCGGTGAAGAAACAATCACACCCCACAGTGAGGTGTGCTTAGTCCCACACTATTCAATATTCTAATTAATGCCTTACTTAATGCTATGCCTAGCCAGCCTTAACATTATATGATTAGTTTTGTTGATAATATAATGATTCACACCACCGGATTCTCCAACACCCAAAACATTCTAAATCATGTACTAGCCTCGTGTCAGGACCTGGGGCTAATAATCTCAGGGGATAAAACAAAGATACTCAACAGGCGTCCTCCTCGACAGAGAGGCACAGTTCGACAGATCCACTTGCATGATGGGTCTCTTCTAGAATATGTAAGCAGATACAGGTATCTAGGCTTTCAGATTCCACTACTTGGACCTGTTGTAACGAGACTTTGTCGCCAGTACAAAGAAAGGCTGAGAGCACTTAGAGTTGTGGCAGGTTTTCATCCCAGGTATGGAGCTAATGTTAAAAATTGTGAAAATGATGCATCTTGCTTATATTAGATCATTGGTTGATTATGCGGAGCCACTACTTGCACTCGTGTCTGACTGGAAGCTTGGAGGGCTGGAAAAACTGCAAAACGAAGCAATGAGGATCATCCTAGGATGCCCTCGTACTGCCAAAATTTTAAATATGCGGAAAGAACTTAAAATATTCCAAGCATTAGAGATCGTGTTACTGAAAGAAATATCCTTATTGGGGTCAATATGCTTAGGTTAGCCCATTCAAACCCCTGCACAGAAGCCCCCCAAACTTTCCTCAGCACTGGTGAACATCCTTCCAGATGGATCGAAAAAATTCGAACCGACCTCCGCATGAACCAGCTACATGATCTATGTCAAGTTAGGCAACAGAGACACTTCCCTGCTCCATGGGATATAACCCCATTCCAAACTACCATTCCTCCATTTCCACTCAAAACTCTTCTTAAATCACAACCAAAGCTTCGTCTTGAAGCCAAACAGGATGCCTTAAGCTGTATTGAAAACTTAGTCACACAGAACACTCTTTCACAAATTATTTACGTTGATGGTTCTGTTCACCAGTCCACTGGTGCAGCTGGTAGTGCTGCTGTTGTCATACAGAGTGATGGCTCTCATAAAGAAATTGGAGCACGCATCAATGACTGGGCCTCTACCCTTCAAACAGAACTGTTTGCCATACTCCTTGCACTCAAATGCGTCCATGTATCTAAGGTTGACACTTTAATTGTAACTGATTCTCTGTCATCCATAAATGCTCTCAACTCCACCAATATTCAATACACTAAACCTACTCACCATACAAAACATCCATACTTATTACTGCACCTATTACATACATAGAACACTTAACTCTGATATTAACCCTCCCCTCAAACATCTCCTTGCCAACCTCAACAGAACACATGACCATAACACAAGGCACAGATCACTCTTTGATGTTCCTCGTGTCCATCTCACACTATGCAAAAACTCAATGCACATAAAAGGCCCTAAAATCTGGAATTCATTACCTGTAAATATAAAAGAAACACTACCTGTTTATAAATTCAAGTCTCTTCTCAAAGATCACTTACTCACCCA